GTTGCCCATGGTCTCACTGCATGAGAAAGAAAGAAAGTGGAACTCACATTTATCTGACTTCAAAGTATAAGAATTAGACTTACTTTATGTAATTACAGAGGTGAAGAGTAGATCAAAATGAAGGCAGAATACAGGGAGACATTTTGGTTCAATATTATTTTGAACCATGAATGTCAGTCAAAACTGCAACGGGCTGCCTTTTTTTCCTCACTGGAAGGGTTCAGGTACAAGTTGGGTTACCATTTTTTAGGGATGTTATAGAGGGGAATCTCCAATTGGCTAAGAGTTGGACTAGACACCCTCTGAATATCCCTTTGAACCCTAAAATTCCGATATGTGTAATTCTAAGATTTTATGATTTGTTGTCCCCCAGAAAATTCACACAATGCCATTGGAGACCCCACCGCCAGAGGGCAGTGTCTCCATGTTTGATCCACTTGCACAGAAGGAACTAAGTGGTTCGCTCTGGAGCTGTCTAGAGAAAGCCAGCACTGAAATGGGCCAATGTGAAGAGAGAGGGAGTCACCCACGGAATGTTAACATCCCTTCCTTTACCAGCTGAATAATGATTTCCGTAGGCCAGGGGACTGGAGAGAGGTCAGAGTGGTGAAAGTCAAGGGAAGACACCATTTCCAGAGAGTTGGAGAGGGGTGCCTTCTGAGGGCTGTGCACTGGCAGGGAGCCCTCCTGGGGCCGTCTCTTCCAATCCTGCATTCCAAAGACTAGGAAAGTGAGGGGAGGAACAGGGTCGAGGATGTTAAAAGGTGACAGTGGAAACCCTCTCACACTTGAGAACGTTGAAGGACCCAGATATATTCAGCCTGGAGAAGAGAAATCTTGGAGGGACTGTGGGAACTGTCTTCCTCTGAGGTTGTTATGCAGGGTCTTAGGTATCAAAACCAGTGTTAAAAACAAAACAAAAAAAAGATACCACTAGGGGGCAGGTCTCGGCTTGATTTAAGGAAGAACTTGCCCATGTCTGAACATCCTGGGAGATGCCTAGGTAGAGCATGTGGGGGCCTTGTGGCAAGTCACTGGATGGATGGATCCCTGGCAAGTCCCTGGATGGATCTTAACATCCCTTCAGGGATTCTGTAGCTTTCTCGGCTTTACGAGACCTAGTTAGTCTTCATATGTCAGAACACCTTTTCACCAAGACTGCATAGTTTTCATGGTTTCCAATAGAAGTAAGCCTGTGAGTTAGGATATAGGGATAAAACAGAACTCTGACATACTGAAAAATTGCCTTTGGGTTTGGAAGCCTTAGAAAAATAAAATATCTTCACTTACAAACAATCCCTAGTCTATTTTTCATGTTTCTTTTATTTAAACTGCATTGGGACAGGGCATTACAATTGTCCACATGAGGAATTATTTCAAGAAACAGCCAGGTCACACAGACAGTTACATATTCCGTCTTTGACATGAACATGTAGGATCTCAACTAAAACAGACCCACTGTTACTGTTATCCAAGTGCTTGCACATCTTGATACAGTCTCAGAGAAGCCACACTAATTTTAGTTCCTCTGATGCCTGGGTGTTTACATCCCCAAACCCTTTCCCCCCACAGCTATCTTTATTCTGTAGCACCTCTTTCTGGCTTATACTTTCCTTTCATAGTAAACATTCTCAGGATACCCAGTTTCCTGTTTTCATGTATTTTCCCTCTCAGTGGTCTGCTGTTGAGATCTGTATCACCCTGAAAGAAAAAAGAGAGAGAGGCTGAGAAAATCCTTGTGGACCAGAGCCAGGAGTTCTGACATCTCTGCCTCCTTCTTAATAGAAAGACAGTGTCCCCAGGATGCTTCCTTCCTCATAATGGACACCATCATTGGGTCATAGCTGGTTCATTCTGCCTGAGGTTGTGAAGGTTTAGACATCTTTGGGCTTGGGGTGCCCAACAGGGCCTGGACTCTACACAGGCCATCGAGAAGGCTGGAGTGCCATCCCCTGGGACAGAGTGCCCACCACGAGCCTGCCTGTGGTGTCTCATGAGGGGCCAGCAGGCTTGTTTTGCCATTGTGATATGTCTTCCCAAGAAGGAAAAGCTACTGCTCATCACATCCCACACGTGGATTTCCAAAATTAGCAAGATTTCCTTATGGAAATTATGGAACACTCGTACCCAACGGGGCCCTTCCCAGCCTCACACATGGCAGTGCTTCTAGCTTCATCTCTCACCCCATTTCTCTCCCCTCTTCCTGAGCTCCTCTTCTCTAGCTATGCTGTTCCCTTGTATGAATCCAGCTTCGGCACTGTTGGCATATGAATTCCATCTGGAATTCTCTTCTTTCGTTCTCTATCTGGTGAGCAATGAATTTTACTTATTCTTTTTAATTTCCATTAAACATTTTCTTCTTTCTCATTTATTTTAATTAATACCAGAAGCTAATACTTTTATAAAATACATTGATCATGCACTTGGATGTCATAGCAGTATCAATTGTTATAAAAATTTCTAAAAGCTTCCTCTCAGTTTCTGTACTTTTGTTGTCTTGGGCAGGTGACAAACAGGGACCACTCGTGGAGTGGCACCGCCTTAGGCTTTTCTATGGGTCACATCCTCCTTGAAGGTGCTCCACCCAGCCACCTCAGGTTAAACCAGTCACTCCTCCCCTGTGATCCTCCCCGGTGAGATGCAAACACAGCATCACAGAACATTTGCTCACAGCCCTGTGGTGATGTGTGCTTCTTCCTCTCCACCAGATTCCGAGCTCTGCCAGGGAGGGTGTCCTTTCTTATTGATTATTCATCTCTGTGTCTCAGAGTCCAGACCTAGGCCCTGTTCAGAGCCTGGTTAGTATTTGTGCCACTGAATATAAAGCCACTTTAGAAAACTAAACTCTTGTGGGGTCTTGGCTCAGTGTTGACTCATGTACTGGTTTGCTTATGACATCTCAGGGCTACGGATGGCATATCTAGCCCTGTGACCAGCTAGGGGAGATGGGATAAAAGAGCCTCATCACCTCTGGGTGCTTGTTGGCAGGACTGTGGCCTCATGGTGTGGAGACAGAGCAGTTGGACCAGGACCAGCAAGCCCCAGCAATTAACAGTCCCCAGGCCAGAGCAGAGAATCTGTTTTACAAGATGGCTAATACCGGAGACTAAGACTTTGCAGGTGGAAGGACTCTAATACCTCCCGAGTCTGGGTGGTGAGTAGTAACCCCCACCAAGTGAGAGTTCAACAGAAGGGACCCCTTTTGGGTTTTTGCCCTGAAAGGAGATGGCTATACATTAATTGTAGGACTCGTCCAGAGGCAAGCCTCTGGTTTCCTTAACTTCCTGAGCTAACCATTATTTAAGAATTAGAGAATTAAGAAAAAGATTTTTTCCTATCTTTTGTTCCCTCCCTAAGCACGTGGTAAGAAAAGGCTCAGCTTGAATTCAGAGGCCAATGGGGTTATCACTTTTGGCTAAAACCCAAACTGACCCAGTACTGAGAGAGAGCTGTGAGTGAGTGGGGAACCTTACCCTCACTGGGGGGCTGATTCACCCACATGTTTGAACACAAGGCCAGAAGAAAATTCCCATAATCCATGGGGGTTGAACCATCGGTACACAGAAACTTCAGTCCCCTTCCCTCCTGACCTAAACCAGGTCCTTGATCTTGAGTTGTCGTGGTTAATCCTAAACAGAGGGCAGCCTTATCAATCTCCAGAGTAATTAAAATAAAAGACAGTTTGCCTTTCCATAGCATAGGGCTCGTATGACCATGAGCAGGTCACTGAACTTCTCTGAACTCATTTTCCTCACCTGACAAATGGAGATATTTATATATCTCCTTATCATAGGGTAAATAAGATAGTGAAAACTACTACCATGTGCCTGGTTCTGATAAAAGGAGGAGAAACATCTGTTCCCTAGCTCTGCGTTTCTGTAAGAGGAGATTTCTGCTACAGTGTTGGTTTTAGCACACGTAATCATACATGTGATTACTGTAGGGGTGATTAAACCACAGACACTGGGCCCACCTCTATAGCTTCTGACTCAGTAAATCTGAAGTGAAGCATAAGAATTTGCATTTCTAACAACTTCTCAGGTGATGCTGATATTGCTACTGGTCAAAAGGACCACGTTTTGGGGGAACCACTGCTCTAGAATCATGTTCTTTGCCTCTCTCCTCATCTTTCCCTTGCTCCTCTCATGGAGGAGGAATGATTTATTCTGTGTTTGGAAGACGGGGTCAACATGTACCCCATCTGGCCTCTCCTTTTGGATCTGCCTGTAGGGTTGATGAATCCTGGTCATCTGTCTCCTTGGAGTAAGGGTCGGTCTTTATGGAGCAGGGCTGTGGTTGATCAGTTCTGCAGGTACCTTTAATTCTGGGGTAAAACACAAGGATGCCCAGGTTGGACACCCATTAAATTCTCAATCTAGAATTGTAACATAGTAAAACTTGCATTTTGACTTTTATATATTTGCTTCCTATACTTTTTTTTTTTTTCCCTCGGTTGATTCTGAATTAAAGAACACAAGAAAGGACTACTTTACGTTGTCCCCCTGGGGGACAATAATAATTATTACTTCCTTAATATTAGAAACCTAAATTCAACCAGTATTGATGAAATCCTCAGGAATAATGATATTGTGGGGATGTGAAAGATGAACACATACTGCCCGTAGGCTTGCAAATGTCCCTGTGGTTCTCCACTGAAACAAGCATTGGCACCTGTCTGCCAGGCCTAGTGTCAAGTGGCATTAGACATTATCTCCAAGGAGCTTCCACCCAGACAGAGGAGTGTCATGACCGCTGGCACCTGTATCACAGGTGGAGCTCACACCCTCGAGGGCTTTGAGAATCCAGAGAGGGAGAGGGAAGTGTTGCAGCTGAAGGGACAGGGGAGGTTTGGAGTTGGCACTGCATGAGGCCAGGGCCTGGCAGACAGGAAAGCAGAGAAGTCGGAAGGAGCAAAGCGGGAGCAGGGAAGGTAAGCTTGGAGCACGGGCATCGAGAGTGGAGTCCATACCTACCGGCCGTGGGCTAGAACATGGAGAATCTCACTCCTCAGAAAGGGTTTTGGAGGAGCCTGTCTTGGACACCTGGATGATCTCCACGGAGGTGATGCCCTTGCCGGCCACGCGGTGTCTGGTGCGCAGCTTGTTCAGGGCGGTCTCTGCCATGCCAGCCCGCTCCTCAGCGTCGTCCAGCTCATGCACCGTCTTTCTGTAGCGAGCCAAGGTCTGGTTGGCCTGCTCCTCCTGTGGCAAAAGCACGGTGGAAAATAGGGCGTAAACCTGGGTTCTCCTGGTTAAATGTGCATCGTTATGGGTTGGTTCAACGTGGACACGTGAGAGTCCAGTCTTTCAGGACTTTTAGCTGATTCTTTTTTGGCCTTGACATCCATATTTCTAAATAAACTGCTGTGTTGATGCTTCTATAATTTGTAGTTTTAGCCATTAGCTACTGGTGCCCCACTATGAAAGGTGTGGATTTAGCATTTTTCCCCAGCCCCCACCGCACAGCTCCCATCCCCTTATTATCTTCCCAGTAGAATCACAGTGCTATTTCGGTTAGAACCATATGAACTGTAAGCCTGATCTTTATCAAGCCATTTGGGAAAGGCGCTGGTTGTGTGGGTGGCTGATGGATTCAGCGTAGTAGCCCCAGAACTGGCAGCAAACAATGGCAGAGTCCAAGTTCTATGTCAAGGTGGGGGTGGGGGCGTGCTGGTGCCGGTAGGCAGACGTGTGGTATAGGGTTGAGGCTTGAAGCCATCATTTGCTAACCATTTGACTTTGATTTTGACATTTGCTAACATGACATAAATATCCCACTCTGGGCTATGTCCTCACCTGTGCAACAGACTAAGAAGATCAGTGTTCCTGCCTTGTATTCGGAGGATTAAAGAAGGGAAGGGTCTTGTGTTTAACGGTCTGAGCAGGAGAGAGAAGTTATCCTGGCAGAGGCCACCAGGGGCAGTGGAAGCAGGACAAAGGCAGCAAAGACTTTCCCTGGTTTTAGATCACACCTTACAGGTGTTCTTGGGGGATATTTTCATTTTCTACGTGTTCTTATCTCCAGTGTGTGGTGTCCAGTCCACCTATGAAGTGCCATGGACACGAAGCTCACAGGGGCCATCTTTTGGCAGGGCTCGATTCCTTTCCTGTGGTTAATCCCAACCAGGTGCTGAGACCTGGACTGGGAAGGGAGGGCACGTTAGGGACACACGTTAGGGCGAGCACCCACCGCCTCTTCAATCTGCCGCTTGTAGATCTTCAGCTTGTTCTGCAGCTTCTCCACCAGCTCCTGCATGCGCTGGTTGGTCTTGTGGTCCTCCTCCGTCTGGAAGACCAGCTCTTTGAGGCGGCGCTCATTCTTCCGCAGCGTCTTCACTGTTTCCACATGCTGTTTCTGCTCACCGTCCAGCTCTGTCTCTAGTTCCTTGATCTGAGGGAGGAAGAGAGGGACATGGCTGTGAGAACACAGGGTCTTGAACTTGAGAGCTCAGTGGCCTTGAGTGGGGCATCATGGTGGCAATGTCCATCCACCTCTTCCCCACAGGAGAGCAGGCAAACCCTGGACAGGAGGGTCACACAGGTTCTGCCCCTCATGGGTCTGCTGTGGTAGTCAGATGGGTCCCTTTCCCTGAGCCTCACATTTCCTTCTCTGGGAAGTGGGGGAGGGAGGGGCCTGACAGGGTCGCCCCTCTAGCTCTGACACCCCATGGGTGAAGACCAAGGCTGGTTTTAAGGAAGTTGTAAGGGAGGAACAGTGTTGGAAACAGAGACTGGGAACAGACAGAGGAAGAATCCTGGGAGCTCCCCTGCTTGGGGGCACAGTCTGGGGGAAAGGTGACAGGAGAAGAAGGAAGAGGAGAGGAAACCTATGTACAAATAAATTACAGCTCTCCTCTCATTTTCCTTTCCCTTCCTAGCATCTGAATAATCCAGTTCCTCATCAAGCACTGGGTGCTTTGGGAAGCTTTGGGAAAAGGCCCCTGCCCAGCCATGTCTCCCTTCTCTCCCTCCTGGCCCACCTTGGGGTCGCCCTCACCCTGGCTTCCAGTTTCATGATCGTGCGCTTCCCTCCCTTCAGAGCCAACTGCTCAGCCTCCTCCATCTTGGCCTGCAAGTCTTTGATGGTGATCTCGTAGTTCTTCTTGATTTTCTCCAGGTGCATGCAGTGGTCCTGCTCTTGCCGGAGCTCCTCCGCCATGCGGGCGGCCTGCGGGAGGGGAGCAGAGTGGGGACTGGAGCTGGGTTCCCATGCTATTGAGAGATGAGGGACCTTGACCTCTGGAGACCAGAGGACCAAGTGGTTGACAAGGAGAACCTTGCTGATGTGCTGCTGGGTTTTGGTGGAGCGGGTGCCCCATGCTCCTGTGTCTCTCCCAGTGACAGGGAGGAGGCAGGCTCATGCACTCACCACCAGGGCCCCCAGTCCCACAGACTCCCACCAGCTTGGGGCTCTCCAGCCACTCTTTGCTGCCTCCTCCATCAGGGGCATAGCACAGAGGGTGGGCATAGCGCAGATCTGGAGGAGGAAGACGAAGGTCTGCATGTAGCTCCTGTGTGGCCTTCAGCAAGTCACTTTACCCTCTTGTTCTTGCATTCATTCCACAAGTATTCATGGAAGATCTGCATGCTGGGTATGGGTCTGTTCTCTCAAGACCCAGCACCAAATAAGACCTGCAATGGTCCTGAGCTGGCATTTCAAGCAAGTGCAACAAGCCTGGCGATAGCATCTGTATTCCTTCATCTTTAAAGTGGGGTGCATGGTATCTGCCGATCAAGGTCGTGTGAGTCCCCAAAGAGAAGTGGAGCAAGACCACTGGCAGCACGTCCTGCTGAATCTGCCCCTGAGCACCTGGGCATGGCTCCCATCTTCCTTTCACTAATGCTTCTCCTCAGGCTGCTTTAATGCTCCTCTTTGCCAAAAGACCTGCCCAGGAAAGCCCACTTTCGATGGCTTCTTTGACCCATGTCCCCAGGCCTCAAGCTCTGATCTCTCACATGGTCGTGTATAGCTTGTAATTATTCCTTACTTGTATGTGTTTGGCTTTTCAGAAAGGCCTCCAGACTCCTTAGGACAAGGACCACAGCCCTACTGGCAGGGTGCTGGCGCTGCACAGTGACCTTTGAGGGGAGGAAGTGGCCTTCCCTGCTGAGGGTGGCCTGGTCCTCCACAGGCGGCCCAGGCCGGTCCCCCCTCCCACCAGCACCAGGCAGCGTGCACACTTACATCAGTCATGGCTTTCTTGGCCCTCTCGTCGGCAGAGCGGAACTCACTGATGAGCTCCTCGTGCTCGTTGGAGATGCGCTGGACATCCGACTCCAGCTTGCGCTTGACCACGAGGAGGCTTTGGTTCTGGAAGAGAAAATAAAGACATTGCCATGAGACAGAAGTCTGCACAGCCCTTCCTGTGTCCAGGAAAGAGAAACAACTCTCTCACAGACATACTTGCCAAACCCCCCAATAGGAAATGGCCCTGGACCCCCTGCTTGAGGTAAGCGTCTCTCCCTGCATTTTTCTCTGTGTTTTAGAGCAGAACATGTATCACAAGGAGTCCAGGAATAACATCATTTTGGCCTGGGATGGGTGGGAACTCTAGAACAATCCTGAACTCAGAGCTGGGAAAACCCAGGTTCAACCCTGGTACTTCTACCTATGTGGATAAATTCTTTACCTCTAGGCTTCGGTCTTATTTCTAAAATGGGGTTGTGATCCCTATATGTCCCATGCACATTTTGTTTTGGTGAATTCACATGAGATGCTAAGTAGGAATTAAGTTTGTGCTGGCAAAGTATTGCACTTGTAAGCAGTATTGGTGTTACTGCTGGTAGATAAGGGTCCCCTTTTTTGACCACACATAAGCCACTCAACTCTCTGGGTCACGGTTTTTCATTTGTAAAATGAATGTCAGACTTTGTTTTTATTTACTGATTTTTTTTTTAAGTAGGCTCCATGCCCAGCAGGGAGCCCAGTGCATGGCTTGAACTCACAACTCCGAGATCAAGACCTGACTGGAGATTAAGAGTCAGGCTTAATTTAACTGACTGAGCCACCCAGGTGCTCCTAGACTTTGGAATATTCTAGATCCCTTCTAGTTCTGAAGTTCTATCCTCAGTGACACTGAAGGTAATGGCAGTCCTTAAAATTGGCTAAATCATCAGAATCTCCTGAGGAGTTTAGATCCAAAAGTTTAAATTTCTGGAGTCCCGCCACAGACCAGATTCTGGATCACAGTCTCCAAGGGAGAGAGTCTAGGAGCCTGTCTTTGAAAGCTCTGCACAACAATGTGCATGTAGTTCACACACTGTGTGTGCACTAAAAATGGTTAAGAATGGTACATTTTATGTTACGGGGGTTTTTGCCATAACAAAAGAAGTCTCTGCAGGTGAGTTCTGAGGATTTCCCAAGTGGGGACACCATCTGCCTTTGAGTTTTGAGGGGAGCCCACAGGGTTTGGGCACCATCCTGGCCCTGCCCCCACACGCCAAGTGTGAGTCTGCATAGACGCCCCCCCAACTCCCAGGAAGCCACCATCCTACCTGGATGTTGACCTCGTTGTGCCGCTCAGTGATCTCTACCACCTCCTGCTCCAGCAGCTTGCGGGAGCGCTCGCTGCCCTCCAGGCCCGCGCGCACCTCCTCCAGCTCCGTCTGCAGCAGGCTCAGGCGCCGCTCCTGCAGGTTGTACTGCTCCCGCAGCTCCTCGTGCTGTCGGGCATCCTCGTCCATCTGCATCTGCAGGTCCTGGGGGGGCCAGAGGACCCGGCCTGAGCCCATCTCCCGGACCCTGGCATGGTCTGGGCTCAGCAGGGGGCTGGGGTCTGGCTGGGGAGTTCGAGGCCCCAGAGGAGGAGAGTGGAAGGTATCGATCTGCGCTGGGGGAGTTCCCAGTCTGGTTGCGGCCTAGCTGGCCAGGGCCCAAGTGCCCCCAGAATTTGTCCAGTGAGAGGTAACCATAAGGTCAAGGCTTTTCTGAGGACAGAGCACCTTGAGTCTCCAGCAGGCCCTTCTCACCGAGGCCTTCCTCAGTGATCTTGACCATTACACCCCCACTGGCTAACCCACATCTCCCTTCTCCTATCTGGTTGTTTCTCTGTAGCACGTTTCGCCGTTTTTAATACTACAGTTTTATTTATGTGTTGTTTATTGTCTATCTGCAGGGATGTCTGTTTATTATATACATTCTTGTACCCCTAGCACCTAATACAGTGCCTACGCTGGGCAGGTCTCTAATAAAATGTATGTTGAATGCATGGATCCAGCTACAGATGCTTTAAAGACCAATGATAGCAATAAAGGAAGACTTCAATTCTATTTGTGTTTTTTTCTTAAGATGAGTGGTGGGCATCTAAGTATTTACTATGTTCTTTATTTTTCTGTCCTGAATTCACTTATAATAAGTCAAATGACTTTAAGAACCAAGACAGGCCCAACTTTCTGTTTTCCTTCTTTCTTCCCTCTTTTTAGTGGTCCAGGGTATGGACTTAGGTGGTTGGGGCGTCTCATATAGATAGTCCCCAAGTGTCCTGCTCCCTAGACTTCCAGCCACCCCATGCTGCCACTTCCATGCTTTTCTTCTAGCTGCAGACATGCATGAAGTTAGCTTCCTGGACCTGCAAGCTTGGGGATGGCTTACTTTGTGATTAGGTCCCAGATTGCTACCTTGATTTGCTGTTGCAGCCTTTTCAGGGTCTTTACAAGTTCGCTGTTGTTCTTGTTGGCATGGTCCAGCTGGATTTCCATCTCATTCAGGTCCGTCTCCATCTTCTTCTTGAGCCGAAGTGCCTCTGCCCGGCCCTTGGCCTCTGCCTCCAGGCTGGCCTGCAAGGACTCGATTGCCCGCTGGTGGTTCTTCCTACACGTGCAATCAGAGAAGACCCTGGCATACTGGGCCCGCTGGTCAGGCTGTGCTAAACCTCCCTAGTTAAGAGGTCTGTGAGCATCAACATGCATATGGCCACCATATTTGAAATTAGAGTGTATCTTCCCTTAAAGCATTTAAGTGGGCTTTGGGAAAGGACACAGAAGGTCAATGTTTACCTCATATCTTTTGTGATCTCAATTCATTCAACATGCAGAATAGCCCTGCAAGGAAACTGAGGCTCCAAGATGATGAAAAACATGCCAAAGGTTTAGCCCATGACAGAGACAGGATTCAAACCCAAATGCTAGCTGTTTTGTTTTTGTTTTTTTAATTAGAAAATGTGAGCTTTGGCTATACAAGCCAAAGCTTGTCTGTCTGTAAAACAGCAGTTATTGGTTGATTGTATTTAATATATTTAGTTATATTGTAATCAGTATAATGAGCATTTTCATAAAACCCTCTATAGAAGGAGACTAGAGGAGGCAATTTACATGTTCAAAAAATATTTGTTTCATTGAGGGAAATAAATGGCTAGCATGAAAAGATCCTGTCACCTGCCCCTTGTCTGTGGTGTTCACCTCTGCTCTACCCCTGCACACCTTCTATTGTGTAGGCACATTGCTGGATTTATAGCACTCTGAGATGTATTCAATTTCTAGACATGGGAGAAGGTATCATGACATTCTCAAAAGTGAACAGAATTTTTATTCAATTTGACTTAAAAAATAAATACAAGAAAAAAACTATAAAACATGTTGAAAAAAATAAAGGTCTAAATAAATGGAAGGACATTCATGTTCATGGATTGGAAGACATAATGTTGTGAAGGTGGAATTCGGTGCAGTCAGTATCAAAATGCCAGCTGATTTCTTTGCAGAAATTGACAGGCTGATCCTAAAATTTATATAGAAATGCAAGGGACCCAGAATAACCAAAATAATCTAGAAAAAGAACACCAAGGTGGAGGACTCACACTTCCCAATTTCAAAGCCACATAATCAAGACATTGTGGTCATGGCATAAGGATAGACTTATAGATGAATGGAATAGAATTGGGAATCCAGAAATAAACCCAAGCCAATTCATTTTCAACAAGGATGCTAAGACCATTCAATAGGGAGAGAGCAGTCTTTCCAGAAAGTAGTTCTGGGACAACTGGATATCCACATGCAAAAGAATGAAGTTGGACCCCTACCTCATACCTTATACAAAAATTAACTCAAAATGGACCGAAGACCTAAATGTAAGAGCTAAAACTGTAAAACTCTGATCTCATCTAGGAAAAATAGGCAAGAATCTTTGTGACTAAATTAGGGAAAGAGTTTTTTAGATATGACACCTAAAATACAGGCTACCAAAGAAAAAAACAGATACATGGACTTCATCAAATTTAAAAACATTTGTGCTTCAGAAGGTATTATTAAGAAACTGAAAAGGCAACTCACAGAATGGGTGAAAATATTTGCAAATTACATATCTGATAAAGGATGGGTTTAGTATTCAGAATATTTAAAGAACTCTTACAACTCAACAGTAGAAAGACAACCTAGTTTTTAAAATGGGCCAAGGATTAGAATAGACATTTTTCTAGGCAATATAGAGAAGTGGCCAATAAGCACATCAAAGATGCTTAGCAGGAGCAGCTGGGTGGCTCAGTTGGTTAAGCATCCAACTCTTGATTTCAGCTCAGGTCACGATCTGATGGTTCGTAGGTTTGAGCCCTGCATCAGGCTCTGTGCTGATGCGTGCTCTCTCTTTCTCTCTCAAAGAAACTTAAAAAAAAAAAAACAACTTAAAAAGGTGCTCAGCATCATTAGCTATAATGGAAATACAGTTCTAAACCACAGTGAGATACTACCTCCCATACACTAGGTTGGCTAGGATAAAAAAAGGTAATGATAAAATGTTAGAGAAGATCTGGAGACCCTACAGCCCTTATAACCCTGAGAATGTAAAATAGTACAACTGCTTTGGAGAAGAATCTGACCATTCTGCAAAAAGTTAAACACAGAGTGAACATATTACCAGAATTTCTAGTCCTAGGTACATACCCAAGAGAAATGTAAATCTCTATCTACACAAAAACTTGTATATGGATGCTCATAGTGGCGTTATCCATAGTGGCCAAAAGGTGAAAACAACCCAAATGTCCATCAACTGATGAACAGATGAATAGATAAATAGATAAAATAGATAAACAAAATGGGATCTGTCCAAACTATGGCATAGTATTCAGGAATAAAAAGGAATGAAATACTTACACTTGCTCCAACATGGATGAAGCTTGAAAACGTGATGCCAAGTGAAAGAAGCCAGTCACAAAGGACCACATATTGTAGGATTCCATTTATATGGGATGTCCAGGATAGGCAAATCCAGAGAAAGTTGTTGGCTAGATTAGTTGTTGCCTAGGTCTGGGAGTGGGGGTGGTGGGGAGAAATGGGGCAACACTGCAAAAGGATATGGGGTTTCTTTGGGGGAGTGATGAAAATGTTCTAAAATTGCAGTGATAATTGCACAACTGAAAACCATTGAATTTTTCCCTTGTCATGGGCAAACTATGTAAATTATATCTCCAATCTGTTGCAAACTCTCTCTCCTCCCCTCCCCCCGCCACGCCACATAGTGGCATATAGCTAGATATTTAGGGTTTATTCTAATGGCTGCGGAGTCATGGGGCTTCTCCCTCCAGTGGCTCTGCCTACAGCTTTGTTAGGGGTGATTGTGGGGGATGTTGTAAACTCAGGAAGCAATAGTGCAGGAAGATTTCAGGCAGGCAGTTTAGGCAAGATGCCAATGTGGACAGTTGCAAATGTGTTGATCTTCTCAGAATCACAACAAATCATATTTCTGTAAACAAAAACTTAGTGCTGAGTCCAAAACTTACTGGAACCTCAGGCAGCAACAGTGGACACTGAATTAAAAAGAAATCTCCAAATCCAGCACCCAGCAGATCAGTTCTTTTCCATGACGTGGTGGATGTTTTCTGAGGGTTCATGAATGTTCATAGTAATTTATATCTGTGTGGCTTTGCAGGTTATGGAGTACTTTCATATTTATCATCTCAGTTAATCTTCACCACCCCTGAGAGGGGTGACAAGAAGCTGTCGTCATTCACATCTGTCAGATGGGGCAACTGCATCTATCTCACAGGGGGGCTTTCTGATTTTTTTATTGTGGGAAAATATGCATTACGTAAAATGTCCTATGTTACCCATTTTGAAGTGTGCGTTTCCGTGGTATTAAACACATACATCATGCTGTGCTTCCACTGGCACCGCCTGTCTCCAGAACTCTTTTCATCTGATAAAACTAAACCATGTCCCCATGAAACACTAACTCCCCAATATCCCTCTTTCCCCTGGCCCCTGGCAACTACTATTCTGCTTTCTGTTTCTGTGATTGTGACTGGTCTAAGTACTTCCTCTTGTAGGTAGAACCATGCAGTATCTGTCTTTTTGTGACTGGCTTTTTTTCACTCAGTTATAATGTCCTCAAAGTTCACCCATGTTGTAGCAGGTGTCTGAATTTCCTTGCTTGTGAAGGCTGGATAAATTTGCACTGCGTGTAGAGACCACATTTTGTTTATCCATTCCTTTGTCAGTGGACTTGGGTTGCTTTCATGCCACAGCTCTTCTGAATAATGCTATGAACATGGTATACAAGTATCTCTCCAAGACCCTGCTTTCAGTTCTTTTGGGTAAATATTCAGAAGTAGAATTGCTGGATCATATGGTAATTCTATTTTAAATTTTTTGAGGAACCTCTATTATGGCTTTCACATCGGCTGTACCATTTTACATTCCCACCAACAGTGCACAAACGTTCCAGTTTCTCTACATCCTCACCAACACTTGTTATTTCTTGCGTTTTGGATGGCAGCCATCCTAATGGGTGTGAGGTGGTATCTCCTTGTAGTTTTGATTTGCATTTCCCTCATGACTAGTGGTAGTGAGTATCTTCCCATGTGCTTATTGGCCATTTGTATATCTTCCTTGGAGAAATGTCTGTTAAAGTCCTTTGCCCATTTTTGGATGATGATGATGATGATGATGATGATGATGATGATGGTGATGATTAATTATCCCATGGTGTTTTGTGATCACTGAAGTACTATGTTTCAGAGTATTCACCTAAATTGCCCAAGGTCAGATGACTAGTAGGTGGCAGAGGCCCGTCAATGCTACCCAAAGTCAGCCTCCCATCACCTCAGCCCCATACCTTGTAGCTTCAAATTCCTCTTCTTTCTCGTGGATTCTCCGGTCGATGTCAGCTTTAACCTGAGCCAGTTCCAGCTGAATTCGAATCACCTTGCTCTCTTCAACCTGCCAGGAATATAAACATCAGTCTTTCTGGCCAAGTAGGTGCATAGTCCCTGGCCAAGGGTCCAGCCTCCAAGGTGATGGCCACATGGTTACCTCCAGGGAAGATTCCGCTTCCTCCAGGGCCACCTGGAGTTCTTCTTTCTCAATCTCCAATTTTTTCTTCAACTTCTGCAGCTCATGCACACTCCGTCCTCCCTCACCCAGCTGATCAATCAGTTCCTTTATCTCCTCTGAGAAAGGAATATTCTCGTTAATAAGGCACACGAGGACCACCAGCTTCCCAGGGCCATGTCATGTGACACAGACATTCTTACATCAGGGCAGAAGCAGGCACTCCTAGCCTCACTGTATCCAAAGAGAAGCAACATACTCCAAGTTGTAGACTCATGGAGCATCAGGGCTTGGGCATTGGAGAACAGTGAGTTCAAGCTCCTCATTTTACAGATGAGAGGCTGAGGCCCACAAAAGAATGGGTAAGCACTGAACAGCTTGGGGGGCCAGTGCCCAGGACTCCCCAGGCCCATTAGGCCTAAACTCCAGGCCTTCCTTTCTCAGACCCTTTCTCCCCCTCTGCATCCCCCCACCAGGTCTGAAAACCAAGAAAAGGTGGGAGGAGTAGAGCCTTTCTGATCTCCTTCCTCAGTCGGGAGACCTGTTGCCCACCCAGAGGAGCTCCCAGGGACCCACCCAGCACCTTGGAGCAGCCATAAATATCAGCCGCAGCCAGGTGTCCAAGAAATGTGACTACCTTGACTAATCCATGACCGAACTCCATTCCTACATCAAGCCTCCCTGAGTTCAGAGAAATCTCATTTAATCCAATATCTTCCTGCTTGGGTTTCTAAGTTCCAGGTAGAGTGGGAAGCACTGGGGGCATCATCTAAGTCTCAGCTGTTGGGGTCCATCTGTGCTGATGTCACAGACTCACTCATAGCCCACATGGCTTCCCGTCTCCTGTCCTGGACATAGTGGCTGTTTCCAGAACATTCTCTACTGCACTGCTCTGGGACTGTGAGGAATGCTGTGATGCTGCCTCACACCCTCTCAGCCCAAGTAAGCTGCTTGGCCATTCTCCTCCATGGCTCCCACCAGGCTGGGGCTACTTTACTTAATTTCTTTTTAATTTAAAAAAAAAAAATTTTTTTTTTCAACGTTTATTTATTTTTGGGACAGAGAGAGACAGAGCATGAACGGGGGAGGGGCAGAGAGAGAGGGAGACACAGAATCGGAAACAGGCTCCAGGCTCCGAGCCATCAGCCCAGAGCCTGATGCGAGCCTGACGCGGGGCTCGAACTCACGGACCGCGAGATCGTGACCTGGCTGAAGTCGGACGCTTAACCGACTGCGCCACCCAGGCGCCCCTCTTTTTAATTTTTTAAAAAATTTATTTTTTTGAGGGGGAGAGAGAGAGAGAGAGAGAGAGAGCGAGCAGGGGAGGGGAAGAGAGAGAGGGAGACACAGAAATCCAAAACAGGCTCCAAGCTCTGAGCTCTCAGCCCAGAGCCCAACACAGGGCCTGAAGTCATGAGCCACAAGATCATGATCTGAGCTGAAGTTGGATGCTTAACTGACTGAGCCACCCAGGTGCCCCTGACTGGGGCTACTTTACAAGGTTTGTTCCCACCTATGCTTCACCGGCCAGGTGAAGTGCATATTCCTCTGCTCTTAACTCCCAGGTTACTGGGGAGCTTTCTCATCTGCACCAGGAGTTGGAGGTGGGATGGGGGTTAAGGGAGGAGGCAGGGCCCTGGGACCTTCAGCAGAACCTAATCAGCATCCGCCTCCTATTTTCTGTCCTCTCCTAGTCCAGGCAACCTTGATCTGGGTGTTCTGGTTGTTTCTCCCCTATCTTAACTCAGGTATTTATATTTAAGACCTTTAGTATTCACACTTTTGAGACTACAGAAGCAGAGCCTTCATACCTCACATGCTGGGCTCTTGAGATTATCCCCTGTGAGCCAACAACTCCCCAGGGAGGGACTCATAGGACCTTGGGCAGGTTTGGGGGACAATCAGGGACCATCTGCCTCTACCCTCCATTGCAGTGACCCTACATCAGGCACCTAACCTGAATTGAGGAAACCCTGTGTTGACTGAGATTTTTGCTGCTCAGCAGAACAGTTCTTGAAAACAAAAAAACAAAACAACAACAAAAAACCCTGACCTATCTTACACAACTGATTTTGTGGTTAGAAATGTGTACCTGCCATAAAAACTCATTAATGCAGTCAAATCCCCGTATAGCAAAACATTCTTCAACAGATAGGCACCAATTTTCAAACAACATCCAACAGAATGGAATTCCAGCATGAGACTCCTATGCATAAGAAATCTTGCATGTGTGTATGTTGTGTGCATAGGACAGATGTAAGGGCTCAATACATAAAATCTGTTGAGCCCTCATTTCTGCCAGCTACTCTACTCAGTGAAGATTTTACACATTTTATCTTATTCCAACTGTCTCAACCTTACAAGGAAGACATTATTATTTCCCCAATTTACAGATGAGGAAACTGAGGCACAGAAAGGTTAAGTAACTCACCTGCTCGAAGTCATGTTGCTGAGTGCCCAAGTGCTTCTACAAATTGCTTGCCAGGCAGTTGGCATTTATTGTGTGTACCTACTATGTGCCAGGTACTCAAACATGTGATGCGCTCAGGAGGAGGGAGACCCTGCCTGGGTCTTTGTCCCTGCCCTCAGACTCACCCTGCAGAGTCTTGTTCTCCTTCTTCACCGACTCAAGGTGCTCCAGGGACTCCTCATAGGCGGTCTTGATCTTGAAGCTCTCGGTCATGTACATGCGGCACTCCTTCTGAGCACTGTCTACTTCCACCTGCAGCTCTTCGCACTTCTGCTGCCACTCGGCCAGCATCTTGTCAAAGACCCGCTGCTTCTTGTCCAGGGCAGCAGCCGCAGCATTGGCCTGGGGAGAGGTGGGGATGATGGTCTCCGGGGACTCTGACTCTCCAGCCCCTTCCTCTGCTTCTGCCCTCCTCCCTGACTTCCCCAGCCCTCCCTAGTAACTCTGGTGACCACAGATTTCTTGGGGATTGGGATATAATTCAACATTTATAGCACAAGCACAGGGCAAGGAGCCTGGAAAGAGTTACCCTCCAGTTCTAAAACTCCTACTACTAGATATGTGACCTTGGGCAGTCCATTTTATCTTCCCAGGCTAGGGTTTTCTTAGGTGTATGATGAGGGATCTGGGCCACAGTGGCCTTCCCAGATTTATAACATTCACCCAACCCCCAGTAACATTTTTCTCTATGACTTACTAATACCTGTTACATGTCATTGTCCAACTCAGAGATGGGTTTGGTGTTATTTTTCTTATGAATCAAAGCTGATTATTTTCAGACCTTATTTTTCATAGACCTTTCCTCCTTTTCATAAGTGTCCAGCAACTATGTATTTATTTTTTAATGTTTATTTTTTGAGAGAGAGAGAGACAGAGCGTAAGCTGGGGAGGGGCAGAGAGTGAGAGAGAGTGAGAGAGACACAGAATCTGAAGCAGGCTCCAGGCTCTGAGCTGTCAGCCAGAGCCCTATGTGGGGCTCCAACTCACGAACTGTGACATGACCTGTGCCGAAGTTGGATGCTTAACCGACTGAGCCACCCAAGCACTCCAGCAACTATGTATTTATTGCTGTGCAATACTGGATTTTGTAAATTTCTGCTTCATTTCTTAATTTTGGAGGAGCAAAACCTTTTCAGGTTTTGGGGCTATTTTCCTGAAGCCTCTCACATGGATATGCCCCTCTGCCCCTCACCACTGGCATGAAGCAGTTGCCCTGAAACACCAAGACCAGGTTCCTGTGTACCAGTTGAAATCTTAATTTGGCTGAAGTCTGGCAAATCAGTCTGAACCAGGGATGCAAACAGGAATATTTAGCCACACAAAGTGTGTGTTATGTGGTTTGTGTGAGGAAAAGGGGAACAGAGACGATATGTTGCATGACTTCCTGGGACTGTTTTGTCCTCACCACAGAGCTATTTGAATAGCGACCTGTTGGGTGTTAAGATTGCAGAATTATGAGTATATAAACACATTTGCAGGCGAGAGCCTGTGTTCGGTGGGCCTGAATACAGACCCTGTGCTCCATCCTGTTGGGCCACCTGTTTTTTCTTGGTAAGCCCAGACATGTGACGGTTTCCAACAGCTCCCTGGGGTCCCTTGGACCCAGCAAATAGGCAGCCTTCGAACATTTTGACCCCCTGACCTTCTCCAAGTCGATGGTGAGGTCCTCGATTTCTGCCTGGAGTCGCTGTTTATTTTTCTCAAGGGAGGCAGCCCTGGCCTGGGCGGCTTCGGCTGTCTCTTCTGCTTCCTGGAGTCTGGCGGCCAGTTTCCTCCTGTGGGTGAGGGCAAGAGAGGCCATCAAGGAAACATAGAAGCCCATGGGCTAGGGGGCTGTGTTTGTGGTCCTGAGCTCTGGGGTCACAGTGGAGAAGATGCGGACAAAATGGAGAGTATTAGAGGAAAGCAACCACTGTCTGTCCGTCCATCCATCCATCCAACAATTATGTATTGTTTCTACTCTGTCAGGTATCGTTACAGGCGTTCGAAAAACAGCACTGAATAAAAACAGACTAAGACTCCTGCCTTCACAAAACATCTGTTCTAGACGAGGGACAGACCTAGAGACAGAAGCACCACGGAGAAAGTAAAGCAGGGAGGGGAACACATGAGCGGAGGCCGGAGGGAGAGGAGGGCAAGGACCCTGTGGGTGTCTGGGGAAGAAGGTCCAGGCAGAGAGAGGTGAGGGATTGAGATCTAGAGTGAGCTTTGGGGTGGGACCAGGCAGCTGCTGGCCGCTCTCAGCAGAAAATAGAAAAGGGCCAGAGCTCAGGAGCTGGAGGCTACAGGAAGGCAGATTTAGGCTCAATGTATGAAGACCTTCTGATAAGAGATTTACGTCAGCTGGAGGGCTCTGTGCTTATCCCTGTCATGTCACCACAAATTTCCAGGGGGTGAGCAAGACAGGCAAGCAGGCCGGGGTACCCTCCCTGCCGGGTGCCTGGTGGCTCACATGCAGGGCTTCCCATGGGCAAGCAAGCCAGCCTATTCTACAAGACGGTGGCTCTGAGCCACATTCACGTGTCCACTCTTACTTCCTCAGGCCCAGAAGGCAGAATGTCCACCACTCTAGTTTGCAAATGAGGAAGAAGGCTTGCAAGCTTTGAGGGCATTTAGCACAGAGCTGGGGAACCAGCAGAGTGAGGACCTTTGAGAATGTGGTCTGAGCCCTCCCAACATCGCCCAGAGGCCCCGCCACAGACCTAGCAGACCTGTGGAAGCTTCCTGAGCACTTTAAGGGCAGAGAAACCCTGCCTGGAGGTGGAGGCCCTGTTCTTGACTTCCTTGCAGGAGCCTGAGCACTTTCATGCTGACATGTAGAAATCCTTGAGGATGGAACCCAAAGGCTGACAGTGGCTACTTTGCTAAGGGCACAAAGTGGGCTCTCCTATCTAGACACACATCCCCTCCCGGCCCCCACTTTAAGAGGAGCCTGTGCTCAGGTCATGATGTCACAGTTCATGAGTTTGAGCCCCACATCAGGCTCTGTGCAGACAGCTCAGAGCCTGGACCCCGCATCGAGGTCTGTGTCTCCCTGTCTGCCCCTCTCCCACTCACACTCTGTTTCTCTCTCCCTCAAAAGTAAATAAACATTAAAGAAAATTTTAAGAGGGGGCGCCTGGGTGGCTCAGTCGGTTGAGAATCTGACTTTGGCTCAGGTCATGATCTCGCGGTCTGTGAGTTCGAGCCCCGCGTCGGGCTCTGTGCTGACAGCTCGGAGCCTGGAGCCTGCTTCGGATTCTGTCTCTCTCTCTCTCTCTGCCCCTCCCCCGCTCATGCTCTGTCTCTCTCTTTCTCTCTCTGTCAGAAATAAATAAACATTAAAAAAAAATTTTTTTTTTTAAATTTTAAGAGGAGCCTGTGAACTGCTTTCTCCTGGACGTGACCCTGGCCTCAGCAAGTGTCTGATGTGGTCAGACCACCAGCACCACCCACACCCCAGCCTTCCCAGCTCTCTGGCACAGGGTCACACTCACTTGGTCTCCTCCAGCTCCTCGGTCCTCTGGATGGCATCCGTCTCATACTTGGTCCTCCAGGTGGTCACCTCAGTGTTGAGCTTGGACACGAGGCGCTGCAGCTCTGACTTGCCTCCCTGCTCCTCCTCCAGCTGCTCCTTCACCAGGTCCAGGTCATGCTTCGTGTTGGCAAGACTCACCATGGCCGTGCTGCGAGACTGTGGGGACCAGCGGAGGCCATCAGAGGCCCCGCTGGTCTCTGTGGACCCCAGGGCCATTGCTTAGACATCCGCAGCATTGGACTGACAGTGCAGCAAGTAAAGGGGGGAAAGGACACCGAGTCTACAACCCAGGCCATCAGGGTTTATTTTCCTCATTTTGTTCCAATTACTGTCCACGAGGATATGGGAGTTCATCACTTTCATTTAGTCATACACGTAGCATATTACAGTTTTGTAGTTGACTTAAAAAAATTTTTTTAATGCTTTTATTCATTTTTGAAAGAGGGCCAGCGAGAGAGAGCAAGCATGAGCCAGGGAGGGGCAGAGAAAGAGGGGGACAGAGGATCTGAAGCAGGCTCTGCACCGACAGCAGTGAGCCTAATGTAGGGCTCAAACTCACAAACGCGAGATAATAGCCTGAGCTGAAGTCGGGTGCTCAACCAACTGAGCCACCTAGGCACCACTTTTCTTTAAAAAAAAAAAAAAAAAAATTTTTTTTTAATTATTATTTTTTAATGTTTTTTATTTATTTTTGAGACAGAGAGAGACAGAGCATGAGCAGGAGAGGGGCAGAGAGAGAAGGAGACACAGACTCCGAAGCAGGCTCCAGGCTCTGAGCTGTCAGCACAGAGCCTGACGTGGGGCTCGAGGTCACAAACCACGAGATCACGACCTGAGCCGAAGTCGGACGCTTAACCGACTGAGCCACCCAGGTGCCCCTAGATACCACTTTTCATGTACCTTCTACATCTTCATAACCTGTAACTTTCTTCAGGAAGGTAGCTCTGTCGCCCCCACCCCATCACCAAACAAACCTTGGATTCTTCATCCAGCTGCCTCTTGTAATCGTCCACCTGCGACGTCAGTGATGTCTTTATCCGCAGGATTTGATTGAGCCGGCTCTGTGATTCTTCATACTCCCGGCTCAGTTCACCATTTTCAGCTGGGCAGGAAGGGGAATGGGAGAAATAGTGGATGAAAAACTGGCTCCCCAGCCAGATCCTAAGCTATCCCAGTGCATCGTTCTCAAAGTACCCAATAAATATGATGACTTGGCCAAGTGGGCTGGAAGGGGGAGCAATGGCGAACCGTTGCCGGCCGCCTAAAGTAAGCGAGCCCAGGAGGGGAGCAGTTGTCCAAACATTGCTGACATCCAGGTGTCTTGCATGAGGTACAGGGCTCCAGATAACGAAGTCCCAGCCCCGGCACGAGATCCCGCAAGGAAGTTTAAAGGAAACAGTGGGGCAGAGAGCCTTTACTTTGAAAATGTAATTGTCAGGGTCCCAGAACGTATGCTCCTGTCATCTGTGAACTGATTGTGGGGGCCGGAGGCCAGGAAGACGTGCATGAGCCGGAGAGCACGAGCGAGCTTGAGTCCTGCCCTGTAAGTCATTCTGGTTTTGTGGCAAGTTACCTCGTCCCGCTGAGCTTCACTTTTCTTATCCATCAAAGGGAATATTGATTTTAGAAAGTATTCAGGATGAGGGAAATAAGGCCAAAGGATGCCAGCGGGTTCTCTGGGGTCACACTGCAACGTGGTCTAACTGGCCTGAGGAGTGTTTACTTCTCTCAGGGAGTACGTGTCTGTGAGGGCCCAGCCTCTGCAAGGTTAGGTGTTAAGTGAATAGTGATAAGTCACAAATTATTTTTGTCCTAGGATGCAAAGGATTTCTTCTGGTAAGAAACAAAACAAAACCAAGAGGCTGCAGTATTACTGTGTGGTAGGACATTAACCTGTTCTGCCTCTAACTTAGCAAAGTTATTGAAGCTTCCCTTCCCCCAAATGACTGTAAATCTCTGTCCTTCAAATGCCCCTTGAGGGCAAGTTCACCATTTTCTGGCTCCCTTACTGGTGACACATGTTTGCTCTTAATATGTGGATCATGTTTTAAAATGTTTAAAAACTGAATTTTGTCTACCGCCCCTCCTGCTGATCTCGCAGGGTGGTTGAGACAACTGATAGGGAAATGCTTTGAATAGTGTCACTTGTTTTATGTTGCAAAGATTCTGCTTGGGGCACTCCATGGGTGGAATCAGATCTCCTGTCTCATCACAGCAGGTGTGAAGTTTCCAAGGCCGAGAAAGCTCCGGGAAGAGGACATGGGTACTCTTTCGGTTTCCTTGAGCATCCCTGTTCTGTTCCACACACTGTTCCTCGGGAAGCTGCAGGGAGAGGCATGCTCACCTTGCAGGCGGGTCCTGATGGCATTGATTTCTGCCTGGTTTCGCTCCAGCTCAGCCACCTTGGCGTTGGCTTCTGCTAAACTGTCTTCCAGCTTTCGGATGTGGGCCTCGGCATTCATCTGCTCAAGGAAGATGTACCCAGTGGGGAAATGGAGAAGCCAGGCCAAACCCTCCCTGCTTTCCACCTGGGTTCCCCTAGTGCAGCCCCCTAGACTACCTCCCTCGTCCTTCTAGAACGTGCCTATCTCAGAACCATCTCCCCCAATCTCCCTCGCCCTGCCCCACCTTATCATTTCTATACATAAACTTAGAGTCTTTGGGTTGGCACACAGACCCTCACTCTCTGGCTCATCCCCCTTTTCTAGCCACTCTGGACCCCTGAGGACTTCGCCCAGTAAGAAAATGCAATGCGCCAATTTAAGAAAAAAATACTAGCCTTAGTTCCAGGGTGTGCAGATAAAATGGGAACTGTGAAGATGCCTCATGAGTGTCTGAAGTTTGGAGATACTGGTTGGCTGAGCCAGGGACCCCAAAGCATCATCCTTGCTCACCCTTGGAGCCCCCTTTCCCTCATGTCACAAGAAGGCTCTTTCTGTGGCAGCTGCTTGATAAATGCGTGTTGAATGGCTTACTCGCTTTTCCTTCTTGCCATGTATCACTTTTTCATTATGGTGATGCATGCATTTCTGTTGTCACTCTTCCTAGTCTGTCACATTTATTGATCTTTTCTTATGTGCCAGGAACTGTTGAAGCCCTCACAACAGCTCTATGAAGCAGGGATTATTATTATCTCCATTTTACAGAAGAGCACAGTTAGATTATGAACTTGGCCAAGGTTATACACCTTCCTGTGGGATCTGTGACGGGCTCATCTCCATTCCCTTCACAACATCTAGAACATGCCCTGGGCTTGCTGGGGGCTTGGGGAATATGTGTGAAGCAGCCAGATGCTGGGGCACGTCCCTGTGACTCTGGGGGGGGGGTCCCCCCACCTCACCTTGGACTTCTGCACCGTCTCCATGCTGGCGTTGAGGTCGTCGATCTCAGCCTTCATGACTTGCTTGTCCTTCTCCAGCTTGGCCTTGACCCTCTGCAGGTTCTCCACGTGCTCCGTCAGCTCAGCCATGGAGTCCGTGTGCTTCTTGCGCAGTGTGGAGGCCGCTGCCTCACTCTGCAGGGCCGCCTCCTCCAGCTCCCGCCTCAGCTTTAGCAGCTCTGCCTCCCGCTTGCGGTTCTGCTCAATCTAGGAGAGAGAAGCAGGGCTTTAGCAGAACTGACCGGCACTGGTCTCCTTAGGGCAGACGCTGCCCACCTGCTCAGTGGTGCCCCGATATTTCTGCGCCCCTGTAACAGGATGTCTTGATTGAGATGTCAGTCCCGAGCCTCTGGGTGGATTGCCCATAGGATTTGTTTAGATGGTGTTGTGTGTCCAATTGTGCCCCCCGAGAAGATATGTTCAGTTCTTAACCCCAGATACCTGTGGATGGAAACAGGGTCTTTGCAGATGTAAACAAGGTAAAATGTCATACTGAACTAGGGAGGCCCCTAACCCAATGGCTGGTTGTCCTTATAAGGGGAGAGATTTGGATCCAGGGAGACCCATAAGAAGGCCATGTGACCATGAAGGCGGAGGTTGGGGTGATTCAGCTACAAGCAAGGAACACCAAGGATTGCCAGCAACCCACCAGAAGGCAGGGGAGAGTCCTGGGACAGATTCCCCCTGAGCTTCCAGAAGGAGCCTGCCAGGTAGGCCCTGCTCCAAGGCTCCCAATGTCACAGCCCCATGACCCTGCTTCCTCCCATCCCTCTGGTGCCCTACATCTGTCCCGTCGTCTTCACTTTCCCTGCATTGCTGGATGTAGTCCTTTCTTGATGCCTCTCACTCAAACCACCTGGGATGATTTTGTTTCCTCCCAGGACCCTGACCATAGCCGCATACCAGCTTTGGTTCTCAGCACTCCCCCCTACAACAAGCAGCCTGAGGCCAGGATGGTGAGGGAGTGGGGTGTGCAGTCCAGGGAGCCTCGGGAAAGGATGCCTAGCCTTCCAGTGCTAAGGGACCCCATCCACTTTCCTTCTCTCAGCTCTGACCCAGGGGCCACATTTGTAAGCGACCTGACTATCCAGAATTAGAAGGAGAATTTCAAGCTTCTGTCAGTCTCCGTGATGCCTTTATGTGAGTTGGAGGAAGAGGCATTCCACACCAGAGGCCCAACTTGGATTCCGGCCCTGGCAGTATGGGGTCACCCCTCTGTATTAACCATGTCTTTATTTTCTGTATTCTTATGCCTTGTCCTCTTGGGGTTTTGCTGACCCTGGACAACAGCCCCCTCCCAGGGTAAGCTAACTCCTAGAGATAGCAAACAGCTAGATTTCCAGTGCAAAGCAACCGGTCTAGAGCCCACACCTCCAGCTCCTCCTCTCTGGGGTGCTCATACTCTCAGCCACTGTCCCCCTGCTCTCATTACCCCCATGGTCAGGTACCAACTGGGCTCAGCCCCGGTGCCCCAGGGCCCGGTGAAATTATCCAAACTAACCAGTCCTAAGCCTGCTTCCTCTGCCGTATCCGTTCCTTCCTCAGAAACCACAATAAAGGCTCTTGCCTGCAATTCTCCCCTGCCTCTGCCGCCACTGACCCTGCTGCTTCCCGTGTGGCCCTGCATGGCACGCCCCCTCTTAGGAACTGTAACAGACTGTCTGCACGGTGGCAGTCCTTCCCCTAATCGGCTGGCATTACCTCAGCTCACATTTTCTGAAAGACACGTTATATCTTACAACGTCTGCCCTCTGCATTCAGTCCCGTTCCCCGTCTGTCCTCACCACTGAGCTAAGGATCCCCGGGAGAGAGGGGACCAAACCAGCCCCTCTCTGGCCTCTTCTTTATTATTAATTGTTCTCTCCTCAAGTTAGCCCCAGGAATTCAGCAGCAGCTAACTGGTCCTATTCTCACTGCTTCTCATCCAGCAGTTTTTTTTTTTTTCTCCCTGAAGGCAGGCAGGAACTGGGGTCCCTGGGCCCGTCCCCTCCACAAGGATGGTACCTGAGCAGACGTGGCTCCCCCAGCCTCTTCCAGCCTGTCACTGAGGTCTTCAAGATCCCGGGACAGGTCGCTGCGTTGTTTCTCCACCTGGGGGTGGGGAGGTTGGGTGACCGTGATGGGGAGCCATGTGGGAGCCCCTCCCTCTGGTAAAGACTGCAGTGACCGCATGGTGTCTGTGGGGCTGGGGGCCCGCACTTTGGGAGCTCTGCACTCTGCCTGCCACCCCACACACTCAGTGAAGGATGTCTCTGTCCTCCTCCCTGCACTGGGTGGGTCTCCCTGCCCATCCTACCTCCGGCCCCCATTTGGCTGAATCTGGAGTTTAGGTGCGTGACGATTCCTCTCCCACTGGCTCTCTGGCCTCATCCTCATCTAAAGCCTCCTTCCACTCTTTGCTGGTCCTTTTTTTTTTTAATTTTTTTTTCAACGTTTATTTATTTTTGGGACAGAGAGAGACAGAGCATGAACGGGGAGGACAGAGAGAGAGGGAGACACAGAATCGGAAACAGGCTCCAGGCTCTGAGCCATCAGCCCAGAGCCTGACGCAGGGCTCAAACTCCCGGACCGCGAGATTGTGACCTGGCTGAAGTCGGACGCTTAACCCACTGCGCCACCCAGGCGCCCCATCTTTGCTGGTCCTTTAACATCTTTGTACCTGTGCAGGGAGGTGCCGTTTCATTCCCTCCGTCTAGACATTCTTTCCCTCGTCAGCCTGTTGAGTTCAGTTCTCCGAGTTCCCAGGCTCATGTTGTCTCCTCTGCCTGCGCTAGGTGGGGCCACGCCACGAATCGTATCTTTACGCCTTACGTCCTAATTAATACTGCACCTGTAGCACAGTGCCTGATGCACGGTAGGGGCTCAAGAAACAGCGAGGGCCTTTTCAGTTGGAAACCTGCCCTCCCCTCTGGTGCTTTCCTGAGTGGAGTGTCTACTTATGGTTGGCTCGTGGCTGGCACTGGGTCCTTAGACTCAAGTAAGTGTAGAAGTAGTTCATTTACCTTGGCTCTCATTGCCCTCTCAGCTTCCAGTTCTTCCTCCAGCTCCTCAATTCGGGCCTAGCAGACAAATCGGTGGGGGTGGAGGGGTGGGATTTATCTCTTCTGTGTGAAGTTACAGACTTACCCACTTGACCTTTTAGTAGGGAAGTGATGGAAAGGGGCTGAGCATGTGATGGACACTGTCAAAAGCAGAGGGAAACAGGGCACAGAGAGTATGTGCAATGGTCCTGAGGCAGGGGAGAGGCTGGGGTATGAGACCCCTCAAGGAGCCAGCATGGCTAGGGAGTGGGGGGCAGGGACGCTGGGTGACAAGGTCAGGGAGGGGGCAGGGGCAGATGGTGGAGGGCCTTGTCCTCATAGTGGGGGCGTTGACTTTAAGCCTGCATGAGGTGAATGTGGATCAGTGTCAAGGACTCTGGGGCAGCCTTGCTCCTCAGGAAACCCGGGCGGCCAAGCAGCTGATGGGGGCCAAGGTGCCTGGAAGGGCGTTTCAAAAGGAGAGTTGCGCCTTCTCGGTCCTGAACACACCTGATGCTCCTTCAGTTTCCGCTGGAGTGTGGAATTCAGAGACTGCTCATCCTCGTACTTGGAGTTGACAGAATTGATTTCCATATCCCTCCTGCAAGAGAAGGTGTGATCTGAGGAGGAGCTCTGAGGGGATACCAGCCAGCTGGTGAGGGAACAGAACCTGGGCTACCGGAGGAGGCCTTGAACCTGCTGAAACCCATTCATCCCCTAACCCCCTGACCCTCTGCGGTGACAGCCCAGAAGGTCTCGCCCTACAAAAGCCCTCAGAATCTGCTGCACAGGCCTCCCACTCACTCATGCATTTGTTAATCTGGCACATGTTTATTGACTATCTACTATTGCCGGATGCTGTTTGGGGCTCCAGGGACACATCCGTGAATAAACCAGACAGAAATCGCTGCCCTGGTGAGCTTACATTCTAGGGGCTCCAGAATCACATGGGCGCTTTGCCTTTTTAGGGAAAATTTTCTTCCAAAAACTTTCCATAAAAGGCTGTCTCCTTCTGATATGTGGGTTGCACGTGTCAAGGAGCCATGTGTGAGAACTAAGACACCAGAGACCAAGTAGGTGAGCAGGATGGTCAAGGTCACATGCAGCTTCTGGGTGTGCCACAGAAGAAATGAGCCGCGATGCGGCATTAGCCACACGCGTCTCACAGCAGCTCGTGGAGCTGTCAAACTGCCTTGGTAAAATGTACTTCAAAGTTGTGTCGTCCAAATTCTGCCCCCTGAAAGCTTGTCCATCTCCTAATCTCCATCCCCTCAGCCTCTTGCTTTAGTTCAGGTTTATACCTGGACTATTGCAGTAGCCTTCTGGTTGCCTTCCTGCTTCCAGTTTTTCTCCGCTCCACCTGTCCCCCATAGTTACTGCCGCAGTGATATTGAAATACCCCTCGACTCCTTGTGATCTTTGAAAGCCCAGCTTACAGGTTTCTGCCAAGACTCCCTGCCTATGGGGGAGGGGCATTGCTCAGTACCAGCCCCCTTTCTGGCGCCCAGCTGGCCCTGTGTGAGGCTAGGAGCTCCCTGTGGATGGGCAGTGCCTACTGTCCCCTCCCTATGTGCTCTGTAGCAGGCACCGTGCCTGGCACATAGCGGGTATTAGGGATGTGCGTTAATACATGCGAAGCCCTCAGCGCGGTGCCTGGCACCTGGTACCACACAGAAAGTGCTAATGCTGTGGATGAAATGAATGACAGCATGGGCGTACTTTTTCACCACTTCCTCGAGGTCCAGCTTGGACCGCTCCATCTCGTTGAGGTTGTCAATGGTTATCTTCAGGTCACTCTCAGCCTTCCGACGGGCCTTCTCCACCTCCGCCCGGATTTTCTTTTCTTGTTCCCAGTTATCCTCCAGCTGCAGAAACAAGAAGAGCGAGAGAAAACGCGTGTGTTGAGGGGAGCGGGGTGAGTCTGAGGCCAGAATGCAATTGAGGAACCAGACTGGGCCTGGTTCCTTAGCTGTGGCAACAGAAAGGCCCTCATTTCCTCAGGGGGACATGTCAGTCCAATTCCCCAAATGTATCTGAGGGCCCTGGGCCCCATGACAGACCTGGCCCTTGAGCTATAGAAATGGCCCCAGCAACAGGGCATTACCTCATGGATCTGGGTGCTGAGCTTGCTGTTGGTCTTGGTCAGGTGGTTCACCTTGTCCTCCTCAGCTTGCAGGTCGTCTAGGGTTTTCTGGAAGGAAAGATCTTGTATGTCCCACGAGACATGCAGAAGCAGCTGAACAGACCTAGTTCTCTGCCATCACTTCTGAGCTGGGTTGAGTTGACTTCAGGGAACAGCTACTGAGTCCCTGGCCCTGGTGCCAGGTGAGGCAGGGGAAGACCTGAGCACCCGTTAGCTGTAGGTGGGCCCTCAATGGTCAGTGGGGCTCTGGCTCTCCGTGGGGCATGCAGGAGGTCTGTTGGGGAGCTTTTGTTCACCACCATGATTGGGGGCCCCACTGGCACTTAGTGGTTCCAGGGATGCTGGACATGCCTTGCTCTGGACAATCCGGTACCGTGAAGCATAATTCTGTAGTCCGCACACTTGATGCCCCACCCGGGCATTCATGTACGTAAAACAACAGTTCTATTCTTCTAAACCCAGCAGCCAGGACCACTGGACACATAACTCAACTTTTTTTTTTCGTTTAGTATACACTATATTTTTAAAGAATGATCTACCATGAAAACTGAGAGATTTGTTATTGTCAAAATCTCCCTGAGAGTTCTTCACCATTTTGTAAACCCGCATCACTGACGGCAGCCACACTTTGCCGTCAATGTCACCAACACACCCTCTGTGCCCGTCCGTCTTCGGCCACCTAGGCAGGCTCGGGTGTTCAGCCGACTGCTCACGACGTCTTCTAGTGGATCTGCCTGAGCGCTTACACACGGACAGCCCCGTTATTTATTATAAATTACATTCCGTTCATTTCCCCCTTAAAAAGAAGGGCACTCTATTGATTTTTTTGAAGGTATGTATTAGCTATAATAATGTTTATTTTACGATAGTAAAGAGAGGCTTCCAAAATGCAGTCTGCCCTCATTATTTGTGGATTATCTATTTTCCAATTTACCTACGAGCTAAAATTTATGTGTAATCCCAAATCAATACTTGTGGTGCGTTCATGGTCATTTGCAGACATGCGCAGAGCAGCGAAAAGTTTGCGTCTTCTGGAGCGCACATTCCCAGCTGACGTCAAATAAGATGATGCCCCGCCTTCTTGTTTCAGCTCATACTGCAAACAGGTGGCTTTTTCATAGTCTATTTAGCGCCATGTTTTTTTACATTTTTTGTGCTTTTGTCTTGGTGAGTTTGGCTCATAAAATGGTGCACCAAGCACACTGGTACTGTGCTATCTAGTGTTCCCAAGCACAAGAAAGCTGTGTTGTGCCTCACAGAGGAAATTTGTGTGTTAGATAAGCTTTGTTCAGGCATGAGATACAGGGTTGTTGACCGTGAGTTCATTGTTCAGGAATGGACAGTGTGTACCAAGTAGTGTCTTACACAGAAACACACATAAAACAAAGTAATGTATTGATTGATTGACGAAAACGTGACCAGAGGCTTGCAGGAACCTAACCTTCTATTTCCCCTTAAAACCAAGGTTCAGTATTGGTGCGCCTGGGTGGCTCAGTCAGTTGGGCATCTGACTTTGGCTCAGGTCATGATCTTGAGGTCTGTGGGTTTGAACCTCATGTTGGGCTCTGTGTTGACAGCTCAGAGCCTGGAACCTGCTTCAGATTCTGTGTCTCCCTCTCTCTCTGCCCTTCCCCTGCTCGCTCTCTGTCTCTCAAAATTGAATAAATGTTAAAAAAAATTTAAAAACAAAAACGGGGGTCCAGCATTTGTTTATTCAGTGTTTGTGGTGACTTTATGGAACATAACTACCTGGGATAATGAGAATCGACTGTATTTGTTATAAAAGGGGGCTCTGAGTTTGAAATGGTTGAGGGTTACAGTCTAAGGGGAAGTATTTCCAGAGGCAGCAGAGAGAGGCACTAAAGGGGATGTGCTGTGGGTTCATGGTGTCAGCAAACATGGTGACGGGGGTCTGCTGTCCGGTTCTGGGCTTCAACTTGCTCTCTGCACCTGTGTCTTCAGAGTTAGGAAGTGGTCTGTGCCAAGGTCAGCACTGGTGGCTGGTCAGAGCTGGCTCTGCCTCCAGGAGCCTGAGCCCATAACGGTCAAACGGTTCTCCTCACAAGAGCTCATGCCCTTTGTCGCCAAGATGTATTGGGGTTCACTGGTGCTTTAGCACCGGCAGGGCACTCATCCTGATAAGTCTGGGGACCCTAGCTTCCAGTGCACCTGGGATCATCTCCTCATGCCCGCTGCCCCTCTTTCACTCTCAGACTAGTCTGGGTGATAAATTATATGGTCGCCCCACTTACAATAAACTTGGGAGGAGAACAACAAGACATGACAGTGCCTGCTTCTCTGATGAGGAAATTGAGATTTAGGAAGACTGACTTCCCTATAGGCCCCAGCTGAGGGGCAGCAAAACCAGGGTCCCCAGTCTCCGAGCTCCACCTGCTGTGCCAAGTAGAAGCCTGTGGTGCCTACCTGGTGCAGCTCCTCCAGGGCCCTCTTCTCCTTCTGGAGCTTGGCGATGGAGTCTTCACGGAGCGAGAGGTCCCCGGTTAGGGTGCGGACCTTGTGATCCAGGGCCTGGAAACAGGGGCAGGAGAGGGACAGGCCTTTAAGGCTGGGAACAGCCTTGGAGGGGGAACAAAGAGGGAGGCGCTTGCTCCGAGAGAGGGGCTCTTCAGCTTGGCTGCGGTCCAGAGTCACTTGGGAGCCTGAGAAATGCTAGTGCCCAGGGCACACCCCAGGCAGGTCAGAATCTGAGGGTGAGGGCAGCAGTGAGAACCACCAGTCAGGCCTTGGCTCTTCAAAGCCCGGCCCTCAGATGTCAGCGGTGTCTGAGACACGTGGACCCTCGGGTCCCAGCAGACTTGCTGATGCAGAACTGGCATGTTATCAAGATGCCAGCACTTTGTGTGCACATCAGAGCTGAAGAGGCACGGGCTTAGGCAGCATACACCTTCCCCTGCTCTGGCCCCCCCCCCC